AGGGGGGGGGGAGAAACATATGTGAATTTTGTGCAAATTAAGTCCTGAACTGCAAAGATTTTCATTAGTCTAGGATTCTTCTTGTCAGGGTATGTTGACAGATAAGAAACACATTTTTCAATCATTTCATTTCATTTCATTTGTATGTATATTATTCCCACCTGAAATGCAAAATGAATCGTAAGGCTCATAAAGGTGCACTTAGTTGAGACAATATGTGTTTTTTTTTCCCCAGAAAGTCTTGAAAGCTAGGAAAATGGCTTGCCTGAGTGTGGTACTGAATCATTAAAAATCTTTTCCAACATAGTTTTATTATCAGCAGAGGAAGAGTACATAGGGCCTTTGCAGACTGCCAGAAATAGTGCACATTAAATTGAGGCACTGCCCTGGCTCAGTGCTAGGGAATCATGGGAACTGTAATTTATAGTGGCACCAGAGCTCTCTGACAGAGAAGGCTCAATGTCTCAGGAAAAAATACAATTCCCATGATTCCCTAGCACTGAGCCAGGGCAGTGCCTCAATTTAATGTGCACTATTTCTGGCAGTCTGTAAAGGCCCATAGTTTCATAGATCTGACCTGGAGTTTTCCAGACCCAAATGGGAGCTCCCCAAACCAATGCCCAATTCCATAATGGAGATTAGGCAGTAAAATTTGGAATAGTCACAGCTCACACTGAATATTCGTCTGCCCAAGGAAGAGTAGCTCTCCCCTAAGGGCCACTTGGAAATCTGTCTGCAATATTTACACGGCATTTGGGGAGTCAGGAGCATAAGATACTGCCGAAAATGTCAGCTGCTATTACAGTTTCTTGCTGAGGGCATCGATTTCTCCTTCACCATTTGCACACGGATGAAGTGATTTGATGTCCCTGAAAGAAGGGAACAGTTTGCAAAGGAGGACTTCCTTGAAAGGCTGGAGACTTTCTATAGCTTATTTGTTTCAAAATGCATACCTATGTATATGTTAAGGTAGGCTTAGGTCTGTTCTTTGAACAGATGTAGACTGTTCAGATTTTGCTTAGTTGCTTAAAGAGCTTCTGCATCCTCTTGTCTGTTCTGCCTTTGTTTTGTTTTTCCAAGTCACTGAATATCCTTTTTTTACTCCATTGTTGACACTGGTAAGATTTATGTTCTGTGTACATGCAGGATTCCTGACCACCCACACCTCTCTTTTTAGCCAACAAATCCAGCTCTTCTTTAAAATATGTATACACCTCTGGCCTTCTTCTTGTTTTGCCTTAAAGGAGAAAACCCTGGCTTTGGGTTAAACGAGATCATGTTGTTCACAAAGGATCTCTCCCAAGCAGTGGAAGAGGTCTGTTTGCCACAGCATGTGATTTTCCTCCTCTACATAGCTTTGATTTCACATGCTTTGCTTTGTGGTTGGTCATTGGAAGGTTAAAAGAGGCTTAATTTGCAAGTCTGATTGTCCGATCACTTAGTTCTGTTTGAGAGGGGCAATGGGTTAACTGAAGTGAATATACACTTTATTTTCATGCTGAATCCTCCATTAATCCCATTACTGCAAAGATAAATTACAGTGGGCCCTCCACATTTGTTGGAATTAGGGGTGCAGGATCCCCATGAAAGTGGAAAAATCACAAATAAAAAGCCACTTTTTAATCAGAGAGAACACCTCTCTAGGAATCTCTGGATCCTCCAACACAACTCTATGGTCAACATCTGCCAGAAGTTGACCATAGGATCATATTGGAGGACTTACAAACATGTAGAAGAAATGTCTCTAGGAATTTCTGGGTCCTCCAGTGTGACTTTTGAAAGACGTTGTCTTCAGGGTTGTTCTGGAGGACCTAAAGATTACAAGAGAGAACATATTAATCAGATCCACAAATAATCCAATCCCCAGAAGTCAACACTGCAAATGTGGAGGGTCAACTGTATATAAAAATATTGCTCAGTAGTCTTCCTTCTTTCCAGAACAGCCCCAGTTTCCAATCAATCTCCTGATGCAAGCAAAACCAGCAAGGGGGAAAGGACAAATATGCCACCACCTTCCCAGGCATTGCTGATGGGAACAGAGGAGAAGACCTTCTCTGTGGCTGCTTCCACACTTTGGAATGACTCCCTCTTTAGGGATGCCAGGATGGCTCCTACTTTGTTTTTCTTTTGGTGACCTATCTTTTCCAGCAAGCTTTTGGGAAATTATTTTAATATACATGACTTTTATGGTGCTGCACTGAGACAATGTGGTGTAGTGGTCTGAGCTTTGGACCATGACTTTGGAGACCAGGGTTTGAATCCCTGCTTGGCCATGAAACCCATTGGGTGACCTTGGGCAATTCACACTCCCACAACCTCAGGGAAAGGCAATGGTAAACCTCCTCTGAACAAATCTTCCCAGGAAAATCCCATGATAGGTTCACTTTAGGGTTGCCATAGGTTGGAAAGGACTTGAAGGCACAAAATATATTTTAATTTTTTAAAAAGATTTTAATTGGCTTTAATTCTGTTATTTATTACTGCTTTAATTTGATTTTCTATGTTTTTAACTCTATATGTTTTATTGTGTCTTATCTTTTGGTAGCCAAAGAAAAGTGGGATATAATAAACAGATGGATGGATGGATGGATAGGAATTCACAGATTCTGGACTAGCATATAAATCCTGGGTATGTGAAATTGGCAAACTCGGGCTCATTGAAATTTTCCGTAAGTCACCTCAAAACTCATTCTGGCTCGGGTCATAACAGATTGCAATCTACCCTCCTGTTACTTAAAACCATGAGACATCCTTGAGATCTACTGATAGCCTCCTCGGTAGTTGCTCCCAGACTTTGGACCCCCCTTCTTAGAGAGATTAGGATGGTCCCATCCCTGCTCTCCTTTTGGTAGCAGGTAAAAACATTTTTGTGCCATCAGGCTTTTTCAAATTGATGAAGGCTGGGCTTCTAAAAGCTACGTGACTCAGATGTTAAGTTTTTAAATTTTTTTAAATACATTTTACTGTTTTAATGCTGGGTGGTTTTAACTCTATAAATGGTTAACTGTTTTCAAACATTACCTTTATCCTTTTGAAATGTTTTTGTATTGTTTTAAATTCATATTGTTTTACATTTGCCATTAGCTGCCTTGTGTCTCTATTGTGGGAGAAAGGTGGGATAATAAATAAATATCTAAATAAATAAATAAATAAATAAAATTAGACCTGGTCCTACCCTCTGGAGCAAACTTGCACCCTCCACACTGTGGCATCCCTTGAGATATTTAAAGAGGACCATCATGTTACTTTTCTGTCTTCTCTTCATCAGTCTGAATATGCCCAACTCCTTCAACCTTGTCTCATGTGTTTTGCTCTCTCAACTTCTTATCATCCTTGTTGACCTTCTCCAAATCCACTTCAACTTCTCTATATCCTTCTTAAATTGGGGCATCCAGAACTGTACTCCAGATGAGGCCTGTTGCTTCTTTTCAGTTATAAATTACACTGGAGACTTCAAGCCAGTGAAAGAGGGTTTTCTTGGAAAAAATCATAGAAATGCTAGCATGGAAAGGAAGGTAGGGCATTAAAACAAGCTGCCATTAATGAGTTCTCTGGAGATTTGCCTAGCTAGGGTCTCTGAATGCTGAGGCAAGTGATTACCAGAAACCACCTGCAAGTGTTGCATGAAGTATGGGCAAGTCAATAACTTATTGCTGCTACTTTTTCAAGTGTAAAGATATATCCTTGAATATGAAAGTTAGGATTGTCCATGCCATTGTATTTACAAATTCTGTGTCAAACTGCCTTAAGTCTGTAATGTGGCAGCAGTCTTTGCTATGAATTGCTGATAGGCCTGGAATTACCAGTATGTATGAATACCAAAGTCGAATTTACATGACCTTCATCCAATGAGAAAATGAAAGTAATTTGATTTTGAAATTTTGTTGTCATGGTCTGCTTTCCAGGATACATAACAGATGGATTAATATGCTAAGATGTTCACATTTAGCGGTGAGAATGACTTAAAGCAACCATTAGTGAAAAGATAGATAGCAGATATATTGAACCATACTTCCAAATGTTTGCAATTTCTATCAGCAAAAAATTGGCAAATTAAATTAATTTATTGATGATTGACTGCAGGAAAATGATAATTTATCCTTAGCAGACAACTTGTGTTTTGGGGGGGAGAATCTGCCTGTAGCTATTATGAACATGTATTTGGTATTGTTCCATCCTATCCATCATGTTGTTCTTTCACCCTTTCTTCCCTGGCACCCTCTACATGTTTTAGATTATAACTCTTGTCATCCCTGGCCATGAGCTATTCTAAATAAGACTGATGTGAAATGTTTTTTAAAAAATAAAAAAATCTCAGCAATGTTAACCAGATTGGGAGAGCCTAGGTTACCCTAGTCTAGCTTTATGGCAACCCTGCAAGGTAGATTGGAATGTACAGGACATATTTGTTTTTGTTCAGCCTTTGGATTCACAGATGCCTGAGGTGTCGTCCATCTTTTATTGAACTGGAACATTGATCCTCTTAGCCCACCACTCTCAATTCTTAATGGCAATGGTTTTTCAGCATTTCAGCATTCCCTACGTCTGATAAAAAAAAAAAACCACCCCTTAAACAAAGATTTAACTTAGAATTTAATTTAGAGTAGGAATGGAAATGATATAGCCCTCCAGATATTGTTGAACTGAATCTTCCAGCATTCCTAACCATTGGCTATGCTGTGTCTGGGTGTTGCAGTTCAATAGTGTCTAAAGGCCCCCATGATTCCCATCCCTGTCTTAATGAGTCCTAGCCTACTCCAAAAGCCATTGACTCCCATAGGTAAAGGTATTCCCTGTTTACAAAGTTGTCAAGTCGTGTCTGACCATAAGGGGCAGTGCTCATCTCTGTTACTAAGCCAAAGAGCCGGTGTTGTCAGAGACTACTCTGTGATCATGTGGCCAGCATGACTGCACAGAACACTGAGATGCGGTGGCTCAAGTGGTTAAGATCCTGACTCTGTTGACTGCAAGATTAGCAGGTTGGCAGTTTGAGGCCCAGGTGCCACATGGTGGGGTAAGCTCCCATCACTAATCTCACCTTCTGCCAACCTAGCAGTTCAAAAGCATGTAAATGCAAGTAGACAAATAGGTACCACTTTGGTGGGAAGGTAAACAGTAACTCCAATAGACTGAAACACAAATTGACCAAGACCTTACATGTGCAAGTAATTCACAACTTGGATTATATTGCCCAGTAGCTGTCTAGCCATTGTTGCTGTCATTCACCAGTAGAGAAGAGAAGGAGGTAGGGTGGAGGCAATTCTGACCATAGAGAAGCAGCTGACTTCAGCTGGGAGGATGGTAGAAAAGAAGCCATGTTCTCAACTGGAATGTTTTTCTTTCCTCCTGCAGCTCAGGGCAGCTGGATCTCCATGGTCTAAATCCATGCTGGGCATGGGTGCATGTAAGCACAAAATAATATTAAAGGGACATACATGTACATAAGCTGCACTGATGCACACCTCAGTCACCAACAGGATGCTATACTTGTTTGCCATATGTGTATATTGACATATCCAATCAGATCATGGCCTAATCTTTGCTGCAGAAATGATGCAGTTTGACACTGCTTTAACTGCCATGGCTCAAAGCTATGGGATCCTGGGATTTGTTGTTTTGTGAACTATTTGGCCTTCTCTGTCAGGGAGCTGTATTGCCACAACAAACTACAAATCCCAGAATTCCATAGCATTGAGCCATGGCACTTAAAGCAGTGTTGAATGGCATTATTTCTGCACTACAGACTAGACCCATATGGTGTGTTCTTCTGGATATGATGTGACACAGAGGCAACATCCTCTCTGAATCTCAGGAAATAAAATTGCATTGACCAGTGCTAACAGTGAGATGTCAGATCCTTACATATCCGGGCTAGATCTGACAATGGTTCAAAACATGGATAAAAATAAATGGCCAAAGCACAACACAAGCCAAGAAAAAGGTTGAGAATTCAACAGCAGGAGAGAAAGGAATGCCACGAAGACACGTTTTCTTTTGCAAGCAGGTTTAGTTTTAGCTCTGATTTAGATAAAGCTTTATTTGAATGAATGTGTAGTTTAGGGATGACCAAACTGGACCCAAAAGATGTCTGTCCTCCTTACATCATGCTCCAAAGCAGCTCAACCATTTTGAAAGGCTGGATGATGATAACACAATTCTGTGATTTCCCTACCCCTTCCTGTCTCTGTTCAATCCCTGCCTACCTATATACATCTATCTATATGAAATCAATTCCCTTATTCAATGGACCATAATACCACTATCACCTGTAAAACAGAATGTATACAACTTTATATACACATTTCTTGCCCCATTAAACCATTCTCTCAATGACAAGAAGCTATGAATATGTTATAAGGTGGTTAAAGCAACGGCTGTTTTAGGACGTCGTTCCTTGTAATGTAATAAAACTCAGGGAACGTATAATATATTTGAACGCTTCACAGCCCTCTAATCATGGGACTCGATAAAAATATATGCAAACCAATTACCACTTATGGATTAAGAAACGAAGGTCCACAGAGGGACAGTCGCAAAAGGCCAGGAGGGTGGTTGGGAAGGGGAAGGTTTGCAAAAAAGAAAAAAACCTGAAGCCTTGTAAAATATTCGTTGCAGCGTCCAAGTATTCAGCAGGGACCCACTTATGCTGTGAGGCTGAATAAACCAGAATACGGTACTTGCACAGAAAAGAAAATAGAGCTGTACTATCCAACAAATGTGAAGCACGTGAGCTTATTCAAGTCTTAATCAATGAAATAGATTATGGAAGAAAGTACAGTTAGAAAAGAGTAAGAAATTTTGTTTGATTTACATTTTCATACAAGCTTACCCAATTATGAAACTTTCCCTGAAATGAAATGAAGACCTGAATACAATTTGCTGTTGGAAAATGCAGACACATGTTAGTCTGTGGTGTAATTTGTGCAACAAGATAAACAAATCTGTACACTTTCATATATGTGTGTGTGTGTGTGTGTGTGTGTATACAGAGAGATAGACAGACAGAGTTAAAAATGTGTAAACTCCTTTTTATCAATGGCAGATTCTGTACATTAATGCATATATTTGAAAAAAATGTGCATTCAAAATGTGCAAATTTTGAGAACTGTGTATACATTTCCATGCGGGGAGTGGGAAAGCTGTGCAATTCAGTAAGAATCAAAAGTTGGAATGGACTTTGAAGTGAAAAACAAAGAAAATCAAGTATTTTTAAATAGTTTTTTCTCCCTCCTAGTTGAGATTTCAAGAGTTTTTCTGCATTTTTGAATCATTT